GGTCGCTTATCCTTTAGACCCAACACGGTACGATGGCCGGTGTAATTTTGGTTGAGCGGAGGCGTGCCGCTATTGTCCAACTCTTGAAACCTGGAAAGCCGCCCAAGCAGTTAGAACCGCACCGACCCACCAGCCCCACCCCCATTGTCAGTGAGGTTGCTGAGAACATGATACCGACTGAAGGGGCTGCTTTGGGTATGGATGCCGCGTCCCCACCAGCACGCGAGCCACAGTGTACGCACCGCGGCGGTGTAGCTGCCCCACGTGGCTCACAAAGCGGGGCGCAACGGAGACGGTTAATTCCCCGCGCGCCGCTGCAAGACCTACGGTGATACCTCGCACTCCGAAGCTCCTCAGCATGAGCCTCGCTCCTCCACTGCTGCTTAATGCGGCAGTCCCCAAGCAGTGTGCCACGGCATTGCGGGTAATTCCCCTGCTACGCCCCGGATCACATAAAGCAGCTGGCCTGCCTCTTTGTGAGCTACGGGCGTTTACCCTTTGGTATTGTGCCTCCAAACTTCTCTAAAGCAATGGACTCATATGAGCTGCGCCAAAGGACTCGGTAAAAAACAATAGCAACAACGACGTGCGCCGCCAGCAAAGCTCCAAGCACGACTGACCGGGAGCCGCCCTCCTGGTGGCCAATATACCTCGACTCCGCGTTTTCCGCCTACGCGTTCGCCTCGCAATCTTTGAAAACATCTGGGCGTGTAAGATGGACTAGGTGAGTAAGTTCCCCGCCTGAGCCGCCGCTACGCGCCGGTTTCTGCGTCTCGCCACTTTCTCGGGATAAGCTCCACGCCTTTGTTGATAAGAAACCAAGGAGGTTTGGCATCGCCGATAAAAACTCTACGCAAGGAACGGCCTTTTCACAGCTCCATTTCTCCCTTTTCTGTGGCGCCCGCCAGCTGGGCATCTATTGGCGCGGAACTCCCAATGGATTGCTCGATCGCCGGCGAAAAGAAGCTTAAAATGAAGAAACTCAGAGCCAACAAAGCGAATCTGGCATAACACACACACCGCGCGTGGACACTCGCAACGGATGGTGGTGTCGACGCTTCCTTGCCAGCTGGGGCAAGAATACCGATTTCTTCTCTGCACCGCCCTGGGGTTATAGAGAATGTCAGCGTTCACCGCGGCATACGCCCGCACAACTACAGGACGGAATCTTGTACGCTGCTGCTTCTGGCCCTCAACAAACTGATCGTTCTCTGCACCCAGCACGGTAACAAAACACCATGCGTGGTTACATATGGTCAGTCCCTTCTGGCTGCCCGCAACAAAGGCCCACCCAGTCAAACCGACAGTACGAAAGACCAGATCTGGCAGTGCCTCTCGACACTGAGGCGTGTTGGCCGGTCAGTGCATCTGCAGTTTTGTTACGGACACCGTGGAATACCTGCAAATGACACTGCCAATGAATGTGCGACGCCGAACGCAACAACTGCTCTGCACACAGAAAAGCGTATAGCATCTCCGCGGCATACAGATCCGCTGGCATGCCTCACCGCAAAACCCGCCAAAGCGTGGCGCGCAACCACGCCTCAAGACACACACCGCCGTATGCTATGCTTTGCAGCGTCCTTTGGCTTCAGTGGCGATGGTCTAATTGCGCAGGAGGACCTTGTTTGAACTGAACTGGCGCACCTGGCACAAGCACGCCGTGGGGAGTCTGGGCTCTGGAATCGCTCATTATGAACAGTGAGAAGTTATTTTACTCACTTTCGTTCTTGAGCTCTTTAGCCAGAACAAGCTGCAATCGTGCGCTCCAGCCCCGACCCACGTGCACTATGGACGGGCGCTGCCTATCCGACGCGGCCTGCGACTGCCGCATCTCCCGCGGGAAAACGGCCGTCCACAAGTCGTCAAAAGGAGAAATGCCCGTACTGTGATGCCGTGTGGGTGGGTTGCAAAAACCTTACCGTGCATTGTCGTCGGCCTCTTTGCCCGTAATACCCTCCGCCCCTTTCTGGGCCGAAATGCGGCTTCTGTGATGTGGTCTTCCGTTCAAACACAAGCCCCGCACAACACAGAACGCACTGAGTACACACTCTGGACGGTAAGGGAAATCGAAACAGTAGCACAAGGCGGCGAACGTTGCAGCTGCAGTGTTGGCGGGCCTCCGCGAACGAGGCGGATGGCCCGCAACGAACGCTGTCTCGTTCGCTCCTTGGTTGCCCGGACCCCTTGGCCGCGCAACAATGTGTCTTTGCATTGGTGATGGTCTCCGCGTCGAAAAGCTTTTTCGATGGTAGTCGTTGCATGGCGGGAGCCTTTCGTCGCTGGGCGGCCGCCTCCTCGGCAGTCAAACGGCATTGTGTAGCTAGGCATTTTAAAATTAGTAGGGGAGGGCGGAGGCATGCTGCAGCCTTGTTG